TTTCACCAAATTTGCAACATGCAAGCTGTGATTTGCAGCACAAGATAATTTACAATCTTGTTAATGGGATGCATTTCAATAACAAAAACAAACTCTGTACATGCGACCCCTGAAACTGCCCCCTGGATGTGATTCTTGAGACAAAATCCAGAGCATTTGTGCATTTTACATTGGGTAAAACAATGTCAATATCATTCAATGACACAATGAATCTTCTCAGCCACAGTGTGTTTGGTAGTAGCACTGTGAACACATAAATGGATTGCTCGCCACTGAAGGTGTGTTTACTGTCCCCATCGGTCGACACATTTAATTTTGAACTGATCACTGGGACCTGTACTATTAAATCACACTGCCATAACCACCAGATCAGCAAAGTCTGAAATTATGACGTGGTGGATGATTTGCTAATATGAGGATTAAAAATTGTAGTTCTTAATAAGAACTTCAGTATCAGTTGAGTATGCTTTTCATTTCTCAAATTAGGAATACTGTGTACAGAGGAAAAGAAACAGGGAGGGAGCAGTGTTGCAGAGAAATGTACCAGAGGATGGAGAGACCGGTAGAGAGGGGAAAAAACAGACATCTTGCTGCATTAACAAGAACTACTGGGAATAGAGTAGAAGCCACCCACACAGTAACAGAAAAGGATAGAGGAACCTGCTAGGTGCCAGCTACGCTCTGGTTAGAAGGTGTTTTACCATGCATGTTTACAGTACATACAAGTGTGTGTTTGTGCTGTACTGTATGTAACTGTGAAGCACGCTGAGCACATGAGACGTGAGGTGTCTGATTCAGTTCCCCACATTTTGTGGCTCCTCCAAAGGGGAGGACTTGGCTCAGGTTTGGCCTCTACGGCAGGTTTGTTTGTTGTTGGGTAGCACATAGCTGCCTGGAATCTGACAATGTGAAGAAATACCAGCACATGAATCCTTCTTCCAGTGAGCTTCATTCATACAACATTTCAACCAAATGAGGGTCCTCATTGTCGGTGTTGAGCCAAATTTGGTGTTCCCCAGTCAATATTATATTGAATAGAGGGAATATACTGTAATTTTGCCTGATATGAATCACTGCACAAATAAACATCACTGGAAAATTAGATTCACTATTTGGAGATTCATTTTATTTGTTCAAAGCTGACTTTGGTGGCATAAATAAGCTGTACAGTACAATGGAAGTACTTATATTAAAGATAGACAGATAGATATCAGGCTCTATAGGTGTATTGCAAACTACTCTGGTGCTTTGATGACACACCTTTTTTTTGCAGCAATGTAGAAGAGCATGATGCTTTGATGTTGTATTTAATATAGGACGGACACAGCTAACAGACTTCACACAGGTTCACAGGTTGGTTGCGTCCATTACAGCAATGTGATCTCCCTCCCTCTGATCCCAGTTGGCAGAGGAGAGAGCCTTTTAAAGACAGCAACTGTGGAGAGCAGACACTCGATGCCCTGTGCCGGGCACCACCAGCTGGGCTTGGCACAGCATCAACATTATTAGCACCAGTGCTCCCTTGGTCCATAGAAGCCTTTTGTGAGTGAAAACAGGCAGTGGGAGAGAGATGAGGAGGGGGAATTTAAAAAGAGAATTGTATC